GTTTCAGAACTCGAATCAATCAGAAAATCTGCAATCTGCAGTAGCTTGCCATACCGTTCCATGGATGGGATCTGTGGTCTGAAAGGATAAAAACGGGGTCAAATCTGCTATCCTTTCTAGTCCTCTGGTGCCAATCCGATTGCCTTCAGGCGTGGTCGTAAACCAGGTGCTGACGTGAGCTTCCACGGGAGTTATATTTTGAGGTATTTCTGGTGGTGGCTCCTGGGTTTCACTCTTATGTGCCAACAGGGACTGGTTTTTGTGACTTCTTCCTGTGCAGAGCAGGTAAAAGCAAACCAAGAATGTAATTATAATAGCAACAGGTGAGCGATCCTGTCGGTTCTGAGGCTGTGCCAGCCAACTCAGGCAGGGTGGCCAGGCCATTCTAAGTGGCATGTGTCTGTTATATAATTTCGTCAGGGGATGGACACCATGTCCTTGGCACCTGAACTTTGACCCCACCTCCTCCTCACAAACCGTATCTTCCTGCATTCGGGTCTAACCCTGGTTTTAAAAGCCTACTTTTGCTACTCCACATTAGCCACATTTTCATACTTCTTCCCTGAATCCGGGAGAGCTGATAAGGTGACCCCTTTACGGAAGGGTCATTCTGTAGGCTGAGCGGCCCAGCCCCACCTTTCTTCGTGATGACCGTCTCGGACGGCCCCGTTTCTGACTTTTGCTGGGAGGCCGTGTCCACCAGGTCCCCGCTGTGAGGACTCGCTGGCACCTCGACGGGGGAACAAATGGGCCCCGAGTCTGGGCTGCTGCTCACAGCGCCATCCGCGAAGAGGATCTGAAGGGAAAGCAAACAGTGGCCGCTCTCAGACGCAAGGGAGGCCGGCCCACGTGCCGCACTGCGTCTGCCTGGGCGAGGCCAGGACAGACCAGAGAAGGCGGTTCGCAGGCCTCGGACTCGGCTGCAGGTGGCCTCGGGCTGCGGGCGATGGTCCCTGGCCAGCGCGGCCCTCTCGCTTCGCGTCTGTCATTTGACTTCTGTTCCGTTCTTGCCTGTGATCTTAACAGGTCTGACTTTGGTCCCGTTCTGCGCCTTCCCACCTGCGGCTGGACCACTGTCTACTCTATTTCACGGCCACGACTACATTTAACGCTTAATCACAAAGGCTCCGTTTCAATCAGTTTCTGCCCTCCACAGACAGTGTCTCCAGCCACTACAGGTGCGTCTGTCTGGTAGCAGCACCTTCACCCGGCACGGGAACTCGAGGGCCACCATCAGGCTGCTAAGGAGAAGCCCAGAGCTCGCGCCCTTCTTATTCAGGTCACCTTCAGGAAGTTTCTGGAACTGTCTGTGCAGCCCGAGCATTGCACTATTACACATCTTAGTGATTGCTAAAAAATAACCAGGATCAGGGCCCTCCCTGGGGGCTCAGTGGGTTGGAGCGCAGCACTGCGAAGCTGGCCGCTTCAATGCGAGCTCAATCTCCGCCCGGGAGGTGACCCACGGGGCACAGCAGACCTCTCCTGTGTCCCGCTGCTCCCCTCAGCAGGGTACCTTGCTGATCTACCCGTTCTGCTCCCCACTGTCTTTGGTGAAGCCTCTCACCATGACTGTACCTCTGGCCTGTACCCCCGATCTATATGCACAAATAAATCTTTTTTTTAAAAAAGAAATAGTTTGTTAAAAAAATAACTAGGATCTCTTATGCAAACTCATTTTTTTTTTTTTTAAGTTCTGGGTAAATTTCTTCTATTATTTCTTTCATTTCGCCCCCTTCATTCTCACAGTCTTCTCCTGGAAGCCCTGCCTCAGAGGTTCTCTGTCCCACATCTTTTGATTTTTCCTTTCCCTTATAAATCCCCCTTCTCTTTTTCAATTGCTATTTTTCATGTCTAAGAAGTCCTGATTCTTTTCTGCAGCAACTTTTTCTCATCACTACTGCATGGGCAGTTAACTGCTTCCATTTTTGCCTATGTCACTTTTACTTGGAATTTTTTTTTTTTTACTCTTCACTACCTTCTCTTATTTTTGGTATTATTTCTTTCATTTATTGAACCATACTTTTCTTCATGGGGCTGGCTCTCCTCCCAGCCTACTAGCGCCTGGTTCACAGGAGCTACCTTCCTCACTGAGTCCCCTTCACATGGTGTTGGCATCATGTCTGGCTGTGGATTCCTTGCCTGTGGTCAGGGAGAAGGGTGGGCAGGACACGTGGGTCCCGGATGGCGCTCCAGGCTCCGTCCGTGAACCGCATTAGATCTTTCCCTTTAATTCCTAGTCCTATGGCAAGGTTTCTTTCCCGCACCGTGTTCCAAACTTTGCTCTCGTCCGTCAGTGACACCTGCCTAAGTTGCATTTTCTAGAATTCCCCCATCCTCTGATCCACTAAGGACCATTTTGCCTCAGGAGAGGAGACGCACCGTGCTCGGCCTACATTCTTGCACACACGTGGAGTACGCTGCTTGCATCCTGGGGACAGCGACCGTGGCTTTCCCTCTCATGAGGCACTGGTCACTTCTGGTGTCACTCACCCTGATTTCGAGTGAGTTGCCCCTCACGCCTACCACAGAACCACACATTGCTCCTCTCCCAAAGCCGGCTGCTATTTCACGTCGCAGCAGGAAAGAGAGGCTCCCCTGCCATGTTCCTCTACCTGCGTGGATCCATCCAGCATGTATTTGACCACCGTGCCCTGGCTGGTGATCACCCTGGACACCTCCTGCTTCAGGGGAGGCCTGGCCGCCTTGTAGGACTCGTAGTGCCGCACCTTCTGGGGGTAGCTCTGGCGGACTATGATGTTCCAAGTGGGCTCCTCGTCCACGACTTCCTGATCTTAAAAATAAACAAGGTTTCGGCCCTCCCTGGTGGCGCAGCAGGTTAAAGCACAGCACTGAGAAGCCAAAGCCGCTTCCGCGTGAGTTCGATCCCCGCCTGCCCCGGAGGTGACCACAGGGCGCGGCAGACCTCTCCTGACCCGCCCGCTGCTCCCCTCAGCGGTGTACTTTGTCGATCTGCCTGTTTTGCTCCCCACTCTGTCTCTGGTGAAGTCTTTCACCACCCCTGTACCCCTTTTCTGTATGCACAAATAAATAAATCTTTAAAAAAAAAATAAACAAGGTTTCTCGGGAGCTGGGCCTGTTGTGTGGCTGGGGTGTCACCTCTCCCCTTAATTATTTCATTCTTCTGCCTGCGTCCCGCTAGCCAGGCAGATTCCAAGTCACGAAGTGGCCCTGACAGCAGGTGTTTGCTGCCCACAGCCCCAAAGCGGTAAAGATGGTCACCTACAAGACCTAAGCAGATACCTCCGCCATGGGTAAGTCTTCCCTCCAGGAGGCCTTTCATACTCTCCTCTCCTCTGTGCATAAAGCCTCGTTCCTGGACACACATCGCCCCTGTGCGTTTCACCTGCACTTCCTGCTGCCTGCGCTCTGCTCCACTGTCTTTGGTTTTGACCCAAACAGCAGAGCCCCATATGAGTGATTCCTTGTAGAGGCAGGATGACGGGGCCTCAGGGTACTTGTTAAGTGCACTAGGCCCGAATGGCATCCTATTACTGCTAAATCAACTCAACACAGGAGCTGAGTCTCCCTGGGCAAGTTAATGAAACGTCCCTGGGTCTTGTCAAATGCAGTGACTAGTTTCCTAAGGATGTGTATTTTATAGTGTGTATTAAGTCTTTGTAGCTAAGTACTCAAAGAGACAGTTATCATTATTATTAGCCCACTGTTCATTATCCACAAAAGGCATGTTTAGCTGTAGGGAAAAACCCCATTTCCAGAGTGAATTAGCTGTTCCCTGTAAGACTCTGTCCCCCACCTCCCCGCCTCCGCCCAGGCTACAACTCACCTGTATGCTCTTGCCCAATGAAGGTCACCAGGAGCCCATTTGGGCAAGACACATTTAAGCTTTGGAAGGTGGGAACGTAAATGGTCTCTTCTATAACAGGTTCTGGTTCTACTTCTTCCTGTAAATAGTTTGCATGCGAATAATTCATTCTCGAATGACTGATTTATTTTATTACATAAACTGCTTAGTGTGTGATTTCCCCGTAACTACTGGGCCCTCTAATGGAGGCTGCCAGAATGCAGAGTCTCTATCTTTGTGAAGTTGGTATTCTACCTGTACCATGGGCACACGCACAGGTGAAGCAGTCAAACAATAGTACCAAGAGTTGGCATGTCTTTTCTCAGAAAAGGGGGAGATCAAGTTAGTGATGGTATTTGGGAAAGGATCATGGTGTGTCTGGGGCTTTGACTCACCTTGAAAGATGCCTCTGTGGGCACTGTAAGGACAGACAAACATCCCCACTACCTCTGCATAATGTCTAGGTTGCTACTCAATACTTCATGATTTTAGGACACGCGTCTTTATTTTTTTGTAACCAGCATGCTTTGCGTTTGTTACAGAATAAGAGACAATACTACAAGGCGCTAATAAACACACCTGTAAATCAATGGGTGCTTGAGTGTGCCAACTTAACATCCTAAATAATTATGCGGCAACTATGCCTGAGTATGTTGCTTGGCTGTGTGCGCGCCAGAGTAACAGTTACTCAGTCACTTCGAACCGTGTCCGAAGGAAAATCACTGCAGTTTCTCCAACTGGTCACCTTTTGTTAATCACTAAAATCATTACAACTGATCTCCCAATCCTGGGTCTTTAGTTTACCCTAACTTGACTCCTACTGCTCATACAAATTGTTCTGTCTTTCATTACGAGCAAATGACGTATGCACAATTTGTTGAAAATTAAAAACATAAAAGAAATTAAAAATAATAAAATGTATGAAATTCTGTAAAATGAACAAAAATGTTCAGAGACACAAACCTGCCATGAAAAGCCCATCGTTGTACACAAAACTATGGACCACCCCCCACATTTCCACTAACATCAGTTAAAGTAAATATGGGTGAGCCGATGTGTTTGCTACCAAGATGCCTTTGGCCAAACTGATCTTCAGTGGCTCATCAGTGCTCCAAACGCTTTTACTTAACAAGGGCGAAGTGGCCGGCGAGAGGAAAGCTCAGCCAGGTTAGCCAGGCGGACCCTGAGCAGAGGCTATGAGGCTTTAACAGCCGTGTCCTGGGCCTTTGGACAAAGTGTGCAACCGTGTGGAGGTTTGATCAGTAGCTTCCTTCTCCCACCTTCACAAAAGCTAACCTGTACTCTTGTATTAAGAAAATGCTTAGGGGCCCTCCCCGGTGGTGCAATGGGTTAAAGCACCGCATGATGAAGCTCTCCGAAGCCACTGCAGCAAGAGTTCAATCCCTCGCCATGGAGCTGACCCACAGGGCGCGGCAGACCTCTCCTGACCCGCCCGCTGCTCCCCTCAGCAGTGTATTTCAGTACATCTGCCTGTTCTGCTCCCCACTCTGTCTCTGGTGAATCTTATCACCCACCACACCTCTGGCCTGAACCCCAGTTCTGTAAGAATAAATAAATCTATAAAAAAAAGAAAAGAAAAGAAAATGCGTAGACTCGAGCCTCTGTGTTGGGGGAGGCCAGAGGGAGTCAGTGCCAGGGTCTCTGTGTGTCTGTGTGCAGCTGTCTGTATGTGTTTGCATGTGGGCAGTGGCTGGAGGCGGAGGACAGATCACCCTGGCCGGAAGTGAGCTGCCCTTCGTCCCATGGCGTCCTTAGCACTTCCACACCCAAGTCCAGGCCTATCGAATGGAGGTGTTTCTACCATTCATCACAGACCCTCCTCTTCCAGCCATCACTTATCCCAATGAAGGTACATGAAGTCAACTCGGTAGGAATGTGACCAACCAAAGCAAGGAACCCCTGAGAACCAGGGCGGAGGACAGACTGATTGAGTGGTTTGGAGCTGAGAATGAACGACCCGAGGCCATGTATATGGACAGTGCGTATCCTGGCCTGGGAACCCAGCCTGTGCCTGCCAATCTCTTCTTACCCACTCCTGACTGAGACGGCATGGAGCCCAGAGCAGCCAAGTGTGTGCCCTGGGATAGCGCCATGGATGTGCTGTCTGCTTCAGAAAGTTAAGGTGAGGCGGAATGGGAGTTTGGTGACCCACACTCTGGGGGGTGGGAGGGAGAAGGGAGCACACAGGGAGGCGGGGGAGGGGGAAGGGGCCCCCCGGTGCACTTACCTTTTTCTCCTCTTCTTTTGGTTGTTCTTCTTCTTTAATAGATTCTTTGGGCTTTTCTTTGCCCTTTGCTTTCACTTTTCCCTTGCCTTGAGGGACAGTCACTACCACAGGAATCACTGTTGGAACATGCACTGATGGGATATTCAACATTGTTTCCAGATAAGGATCTTTATCCTCTAGGAACAGAAAGTGGTTAAGGCAGGTCAATTAAGAGCTCCCATGTAATGTCTGTGAAATACAACTCATATCTCAAACGTAGAAGACGGCTTGTTGTCATGAGCTAGTTAGCAAACAGAGCTCGTGTACACACACGACTTTGTAAGCGTATGTTATCATTGGTCATACTGCGTGTGTCATCAATGTGTCTAAGTGTCAGAATTCTGCTATCCTCGATGGATGGACATTCACACACATACTCACTTCCATGTATACGCACGAATCTGCACACACTCATCCTCAAGTGCAGGAAGTTGAGGGGCATTCGATCAGAAAATGTTTATCAGTGAGCAGACGACGATGGACGGTGGCCTTGGTCACGGACACCCCCCCTCCTGCCGTGTCCCTTACCTGGCGCCATGCCACTCGGCCCATAGTAGCTGATAGAGAGGCAGATTCCATTTTCCAAGGTGGCAGAGAAAGAGCCAAACTTGCTGACGGCTTTATTCTTTGCAATGGATTGTTCTGAAAGACGAAATGGAATCGAGGGCGTCTCCGTTTTATTAAAATCACAGCAAAAGTCAGCCCTCCCTGGGGGTGCAGCAGGGCACAGCACAGCACTGAGAAGCTCAAGCCACTTCCGCACGAGTTCGATCCTTGCCTGCCCCGGAGGTGGCCACAGGGCGCGGCAGACCTCTCCTTGTCTGCCCGCTGCTCCCCTCAGCAGTGTACTTCGTCAGTCGGCCTGTTCTGCTCCCCACTGTCTCTGGGGAATCCTCTCTTGGCCCCTGCACCTCTGGCCTGTACCCCAGTTCTGTATGCATAAATAAATAAATCTTAAAAAAAATAAAAACTCCCTGAGATGAAGGTGAGCTCTGGGTCTCAACTGAGGGCTCACCCAGCTCTGATTCCCAGGTGACAGACAAGCACAGCGGGAGAGGTGTCTGCGCGGAGGGGCTGGGATTCGCGGTTTCGCGGGGTCACGCGCAGTGAGGGGAGACCCGCTGCTCACCTGTGTCAGGATTCTGTTCCTCCTCTCTGTCTTCTCTCTCCTCTTCTGAAGAAGAATCCTCTTCTTTTTCTTCCTTTTTCACTATTTTCTTAGGGTCTTTTAAATGAATTAAAAAATTGTGCTTGTCCTTATTCACTTTCACTTTGATAAAAGTTGGGCCTGGGAAGAATCAAGGGGGACACAGGTTGATGGAGATGCCCTGTGAGTTCCCTGACAAGTCAGCTAAGAAACAGCGCAGTCATGAAACCCGGGGACGCAAACACCTGCGGACCCTGCCGTTTTTATAAAGCCATGCATGGGAGAACAATGGGTGGGAATCCCCGGCGCCGATGGCAGGTGGGCCGGGGAGGTGATTTCCAGAAGAGCAAAATGTCCACCTGCGCTCAACACTGTGATCAGCCACATGGGGTAATCCCCGGGAAAGAGTCTGCAGCTTACAAGGAATTACATAAGTGGGGGCCTTCCTGGCCCAAGGGCGCAGCAGACCTCTCCTGTCTCCCCGCTGCTCCCCTCAGCAGTGTTTCAGACCATCTGCCTGTCTGCTCCTCTGGTGAATCCTCAGCCCCTGTACCCCTGGCCTACACTCCTGTATGCATAAATAAATAAAATAAATCTTAAAAGAATTATGTGGTAGCTATAGTCTTTTTTTTAAAAGATTTATTTATTTATTCATATGGAACTGGGGTACAGGCCAGAGATGCGGAGGGTGAGAGGATTCACCAGAGACAGAGTGGGGAGCAGAACAGGTAGATCGATGAAGTACACTGCTGAGGGGAGCAGCGGGCGGGTCAGGGGAGGTCTGCCGCACTCACCTCCGGGGCAGGCGGGGATCTAACTCATGCGGAAGTGGCTTTAGATTCTCAGTGCTGTGCTTTAACCCGCTGAGCCACCAGGGAGGGCCCGCTATAGTCATTTTTATTGTGAGTCACACAACTCAACGGGAAACAAAACATAACAAGTAACAAGTAATGCAGGATGGCTGATCTTTGAAATAATGAGAATGAACACATGGGATAGTATAAGTAAACAAACATGTATGCCTTCGGATTCGTAAAAGTCCTCTTGGTGTTTAAAAACAAACCTCCTGTGACACCTCCAGAGGGGTGGTGCGAGATAGAAGCTGGATCACAATCGCTAAGTGATTCGTGTAACCTGCAGATCTTTTGGAGGGGCCGGGGTTTGGGGTGCCCACTCATCCCTGCCGAGGTGAATAATCTTGCAGATACCGAACAGGCCCTAAGTGCATCCCCCCACACGGACCTCTTGGCAGTCCCCAGTGACCACTGGCCCCTACCAGACAGCAAGCTGTCGAGAGCCCACGCCCCAGCCCAGCCGAGGGAAGCTGGCGCCCCGGGCGGAGGTCAGCCCTGCAGGGGCCCGCTGCGGCTGCGCTGGACCCCGGGCCCGTCTTCCTTCCAGGCAGGTCCCCTCAGCGCGTGTGCCAGGCCCTGTCCGCTGAGAGACGTCTCCGCACCCAGGGGCAGCTTCTCTCTGGCTAAACACCTGGAATTGGCGGTGGGTCCCTCGTGGGCTCTGCGTTCCAGCACCCAAACCAAACAAGCCTTAAACTCGGAGTGTGAGCTTGGTTTCTGACAGTGTTGTTGTGACTGTTTTTCTTTAAGATTTATTTATTTATGCATTCAAGAACTGGGGTACAGGCCAGAGGTGGGGAAGGGTAAGAGGAGTCACCAGAGACAGAGTGAGGAGCAGAACAGGGAGATGGACTGAAATCCACTGCTGAGGGAGCAGGGGGAGCCAGGAGAGGTCTGCTGCACCTGGGGGTCCCTCCCGGGCCGGGGCTCGGACTCGTGCTGCAGGGGCTGCCAACAGACTCACACTGCGCCCTAACTCATTGCGCCACCGGGGAGGGCCCAGGAGTGACTATTTTTCCCTCTCTGCTTAGTGCAGTTCCTATGACTGCTGTGTTCCAATTGCACAGAAGTGTTTTCACAACTGGAAAGCCCTGCCCATGTGCCCGGCTGACCACTGGGGCTGGCCCAGCGTGTCCCGGAGCGCAAAGTCTGGACACCCCATGGCAGCTGGAGGCCAGCCCCGGCGCCCTGCAGTGGGCCAGCACCTTGGCACGAAGCAGCCGCTCGGGGTTACCTTTCTCAAATGTTGTCTTTTCGACTTCAATCTGCCCTCCATCCGAAGGATACAGGTACCAGCTTTCCCCTGCGATCTGCACGGGCACGTTACCCATGTTGTATCCGCGGAACTGCAAGAGAAAACACAGCACCTTGGCATGGGACTGAAATCAGGCAACCAGCCCCAGGCCAAGTCAGTCAAAGCTGCCCGGGATGAGCTTCTGCTGACTGACTTCTGGGCCACCCTGCAGAGCCAGAGGCAGTGACCAGGTCACCTGTGTTATCTCCAGAGCAGGCAAGAAGAGAGGAGGCCTGGTCGCCTGAAGCCCTGCTCACCGGGCGTCTTCTTAACTCAGCCCTAATCCAATCCTGGTGCTGTGCCCAGGGAGTTCGAGAACAAACCAGTGTCTCTCACGGCTGTTAAATTTCTGTTTAAAATTGAACTGATGCATTGACAAGCACTGACCTTTTACATTTTGGGAGGCCACATATTTTCTTTTAAAGATTTATTTTGATTTATTTATGTGTACAAGAGCTGGGTGTAGGCCAGAGGTGGGGTGGTGGTGGTGGTGAGAGGATTCCCCAGAGACAGAGCAGGGAGCAAAACAGGTGGATCAATGAAATCCACTGCTGAGGGGAGAAGCGAGGAGACAGGAGAGGTCTGCTGCGCCCTGAGGGTCCCTCCCTGGCCGGGAATTGAACTCGTGCTGCCGTGGCTGCTGTGATAGCTTCATAGTGCTGAGACCTAAGCCCTGTGCCACCAGGGAGGACACCTATTGCAGGCATTCTTTACTAATGGGACCTCCCATGATTCTGATGGGAGCCAAAGCTTGAGAACTGACCCAGACTTGAGAACAGGAGACAGGGGCGTGACCTGTTCTCCCCAGTAGACTTCCTTACGAATCTACTGGAGAGACACTGATAAAGGGTATTTTTTTCATAACAGAGTGCAAACGAAAACATGGCTCCCACAGAGGCCGCCAAAGGGACTGGGCAAGCCCTACCCTGGAGACAGTCGGGGCCAGCCCGTGCCTGCCTGCTGGAGGTGGCCGCAGTGGCTTGGGTCGTATTCGTAAGCTCGTGTGGCACATTTCTGTCTTCCTGTCTTCCCAGCCCTGTGGAATCTTGCTCATGACACTTGAGGAAAACTCGAGGTTATTCCTGCCGTGCTGACCCAGGACAGAAGGCGCTAGATGACAGCGGGCGGGCAGGCCTACACGGACGGGACTCTTGGCCATGTGGCCAAGAGTGGGAGCCTCCCCCAGAGTCTGACTTTTCCCCAAAAGCCCCAGGAACGGCCCAGAGACGCCTTCCGGGCAACAGACTTTACCGGGTAAACCTTCTCGGGCGGGGATTCCTGGCGGGACTCCTCTGCCTCTTCTGAGATCTTTATTTGATCTTCTTTTATTTTATCCTTGAGACTGGATTTTTTCTTGGGAAGCCTGTTCTCTTCTTTCTCTACTTTGTCCTTGCCTTTCTTTTTCCCAGCCTCCTTATTCTTCTTTTCTGCTTTTCTTTCTTCCCTTAGGCGTTCCTCTTCTGCTAATTGCTCTTGTTCTTCTTTCCAAGCCTGTAAACACATTTTAAAAAGTAAAGTAACAGGATTTACTCTTGATCACATAATCACTCTGAATGGTAGTTTCTCAGCAGCGCATGTCTGTCATAGGATTTACCTTGAGAGAACCTTCTAAAATGAAAGGAATCTTGTCTTTTTCTTTGTCTTTGTCTTTGTCTTGATCTAGTATATCTGCTTTGGTGACTCCTCTGGTGCCTGCACCTACAGAAAATCAAACTCCTTAACAACATATATAGCAAAGTTTCATGAAAGGTCCCAATGTTTGGGGCTGTCATGGGGCTCAAAGGTATCACGTCCCAACCCCCCTTCATTCATCTCTGGATTCTTCCTGGCCATCTCTAGACTGCATCTGAAATGGAACTGAGCTTCTCTGGAGAGGAGCGACTTCCTCTTGGTAGATGCAGTGAACCATGCTAACTGCACTGAGACGTGGAAGCACCTATTGAACTGGAATCTTCCTAGATCTTTTACTGAAACAACCCAAGGTCAATCCTTTAAAATGCACTGAGCAAACCTCACATTTCTGGCCAGGTGGAAGCCCGACTCTGGCCTTTGCAATCATCCAGTTGTGAAGATACAACTTTCCCAATGTGAGGGGCGTCAAACTGAATGCGCAACCTACCAGATGTATTCCAATCCCGGCAGGTATTTTCTGGATTTCTACAGATAGTTACTAGCCTTTTGGTTCTGTTCAGAATCACCACAAAGAAAAGGCAGTTAACCCGCATTTTTTTCTGGTTAATAGACAAGATTCGTGAGGCGGGGGACCCCACCCCTCCTTTTCATAGAATGCACCTGCCCCTCCAGGCACTCAGTATTACATGGTCCAGCGTAGGGCCCAGCTGGTGAGATGACTCATCAGCGACTTAAGTCTTCTGAGTTGAACTTTAGAATCAAGCCAGGTCCAAATTCCTTTGCTAATTGACAGAGACTGCACACACCTTAGACCCTGGATAGTTTTGCTTCTCTAGGAGAAATCATTCTCCCCTCTGGCTGCCAGAAACAATAAATATTAACATAGATGCCCCTTGCACAAAGCCAAGTGAATGATCTCATCGTTTCACTTCTTTATCAAATAGCCTCTCCCCGGGGCCCCGGCAGCACCAAAACCACAGGAATCAGTCACACCACACAAAGCTCTGTGCTGACCCGACATCCCACCCCTTCGCCCTCCGCTGTCCCCTTTCCCTTTATTTTTAGTCGGTAGCCCCAGTTAGACTCAGGTTTCTTCTGCTTGCTCTTCAAAAGAGGGTCTGGTTCAGCCTCCCTTCTGGACCTGTGATTGTTCTGATGGAGATGAGCTGCCTTTGCCTTGACCTCACATGCTGCCAGCAGGTCTCCTGTAGCTGAGCTACCGGTCCTGCCGGGCAGACTCGGGCCCCGACCCGACAGCACATGTGATCTGTGCAGATCGAGTCTTTGAGATCCGGCAGGAAGCAGGGTCACCCCAAGATAAGTGTCCCACCTCCTCACTGGGGCACAATATCATCCTTAGTTGAAGTGCAGCTATTCTGTTTTTTTTTTTTTATATATATAGGCAGACCCACAGCAATTCTGTGGGCAACTTTTTAATCCTGAAACAAACAGTCTTTATTAAATGAAGAAATAGACTGCCTTTGGACTTTGCATATAATTTCAACTAGTTTACCTACTTTTAGATTTTTTAGCAGAAATGCTTTTACTAGGAGAAGAGAGTTTGACACTGACAGAAGATTTTAATTCCAGCTCAGCCTTGGTCCTATTGATTTCATCATTCATTCTAGATTCCTGATATATCACTTCTTCTTTTATGATCCAGTCTTGAATGGACTTTGCGATAAGTTCCAAATAATTCCTTTAAAAAAGCAAAGAAGAGTTGACTTCGTATTAGTTAAGGTCAATACATACTATAGATCCTGACTGTGCAAACTTGCGCTGATCTTCTTCAAAGGCGGTTGCTCCCAGGTAGATGCGGATTTATTGTGTGGATGGGGAGAAGGTAATTCTGGGATGCTGGCCATAACCGTCATCAACTCTAGAAACGGGCACACACTGTACCTCTCCTGCTGCTCAGGGATAAAGACCTGACTTCACTGTTGCCTCAGATCTTGGGTACTGGTAGAGAGCAGATGGATATTTAGACTTAATGCTAAAGGTAAGCTCTTTACTATCTCATCGTGGCTTTTAAAAATAATTTTTTCTTATTAATTGACCAAATTCCCAAAAGTGAGAACAAATATGAAAAGAAGCAGAGATTCAGAAATAAAAGAAATAGAGAATATGCCTTCTTGCCCTGCTAACTTGGTGCATTTATTAAACCCAGTTATATATTACACAATAAAGCAGGTTTCAGCAAACTTCAAGTATCACTACTCAAGAGAATGCTATCTATTATATCTTGAGTTATTAACTATATGATTAAAATGTAAATGTAGCCAAATGCCTAAAATTAAAGCTAGTGTTTATATGTCATTCTTGGGTCAAATAAGAAAGTGTATACAAAGTAGAGTAAATAATAATAAGAATGAAACATTAATAGTATTTTAGATAACAAAAATACTATCAATCAGATACTTTATGATGCTGCTATTAGAAAGAAATATTTAGACTTAATGCTAAACGTGGCAATTAGAAAGAAATATGCATTCTTACAAGGCAACAAACGAACAAAAACAATTCAAAATCAGGATATATGCTTCTATTTTGAGAAACCAGATAAAAAACATCAGAATAATCCAAAGAAATTAAACAAATGGAAATAAAGGCGAGAGTATAACTTAATGTTGAAAAAGGAGAAAGGATCAAACCAAAAGCATTTTTTGTCTTTTTTTTTTTACAAATTTAGCAAATTAGTACCTATGGCAAGATTGAGCCAGGAAACAATAGTGAAAGCACAGATAAAAAATATTTGGAGTGAAAAGGCATAAGGATAGATAACACAGATTGAAAGGGCAAAAGACCATCATAATCACCTTCACTCTGTAATCTACTTTATGCTGATAACTTTGAGAACAGGTGAAATGGTCAATACCCTGGAACAATAGAAGTGACCAAACTTAATTCAAAATAAACAGGAAATCCAAAGTCGAATTGCCAAGACAGAAACTTAATCAGTAATTAAAAATCTCCCCAGGCCAGCTGTTTTTATCTGCAAATTTGACCAAAAGCCAAAAGGAACATATATCTTAGTCTTACTCAAAATCTAATAAAAAATAGAAATAAAAATAAAAAGGAGAGCATCCCCTAGTTAATTTTTGAAGCTCATATGATCTCAATACCCAAGCCAGAAACAAGCATTTAAAAAGGGAAATTTGTAGTGTAACCTGCCCATGAAAATAATATTTTTTGGAATAAATAAATATGACAACATTTCTTCCAGTACATTAGCAAACGTATAGAAACTATTTATATATGCCAAGAATAGAAGCAATAACATAATGGGCAGATTGGAGCTTTCACAGAAATGCATGATTGGTTGAACACTAGACTGTCTATGGATGAAATTTAGTACTTTAAAATGTTAAAACAAAAATATCAGCATTTAAATTGATAGATATCATTTAAGCACATCTGAAATTTATAAATGGCATAATGCAATGCTACGTTAATTAAAAAATAATACATCCGGGCTCTCCCTGGTGGAGCAATGGGTTAAAGCTGGCCGAAGCTGCTTCAGCGTGAGTTCAATCCCCAGCCAGGGAGGTGACCCACAGGGCGCGGCAGACCTTTCCTGTCTCCCCCGTTGCTCCCCTCAGCAGTGTACTTCATCGATCTGCCTGTTCTGCTCCCCA